CAACAACAACACCCCCACCCCCAACCCCCCAAAAAGCCCCACAAAAAAAACCCTAAAAAAAACCCTGAGTACCTTATTCATAACCTTGACATCCGCACGTCAGTAATCCTTTCTTTAGCTTTTTAAAAAAATTCACTTTAACTTTTGTTCGTTTTTTTTTAGCTAGGTTTATAAACATGTAAGTTTCGCTCCTCAAAATGATCTCAACTCTCTTATAGTCTGTATCTTTTTTTCCTAAACTGTTTAAATGCAGAGTAATTGTGACGTGGGATAGGGAAACGTTTTTTGGGCCAGTCCATTTCTCGGCATGACATCAATGTAGAAGGCTGTGTCCATCCTATGTACATATATTAATATGTGTGTAAAAAAGGGGATGGAGAAAAGACGTGAAACTAAGCTTGTTTTTATATCTTGAGTAGGCCTTCGCATAGGTACATATGTAAAATGCAAATCTTCAGTTTAGTACAGCAAGCCCACTTCTTATATCTCGTGAAAAGATTTACAGCTCAGTTTGGAGAGTAATTTTTAAAACTTAAATTTTTGTTGACTCTTTTCCTCGTACCAAATTTGATCAACCGTCGGTTTAAACCTTGAAGTACAAAAGGGATAAAGAAAAATCCGGTTTATGCGGAAATGGGTGCCAACCGACCATTCCCATTGACCCAGTTCCCCCGTGATTGCATGTTTTTTTCAGCCCTCTATGGGCGGCACATTATGTACGAGTAGAACTAGATCTAGGTGTTGTTCTTTCTTGTTGTTTCCCGTTCTCAAAGCCTGAGCCGTGCATAGTTCTGGGAATAAATCTCTCAACGCTTCCACGTGTATGTTTTCCCTTCACCACTCGCGAGACGCCGGCAGGAATTTTGTCGTAGTTTGTTACGACCCACTCTTGTTATGAAGATGACCTAATTGCCTATAGAGAAGCGAGGGAATTTCCTTTCAGGGGAGCTTGCTTCAGTGAATTTCAAAGGATTGAAATGTGTCGCAAGACATGTAGTTTTTGTGCGGAAGACGTGACACATATTACAGGATGAAAGTTACAGTTCAAATAGGGACTAGGTAATGCAATCTTTGCTTTCGTCCACCCCTACGAGATTTAAGTGTACCTCACCTGTAAATGTGTACACAGACGAAGAAATCGTAACGTCAAGCCACACCCACCCTGGAGTGTTGTGAATAGTTTGCTATTTGAGGTAAACCCCGGTGATGTACAGATAACAAGCGTTCGGCTATTTCTGTGGTGTCGTGATTCTGTTCCATCTTCTTGACGAGAGGTCTGCTTCTTTTTGCGTGCGGAAAGCTGCCGGGGAGTTATCCTCATCCCAAGAACACACTGTATATACGCCTAGATTGTGCAATTAGTGTATAGTGTTTCTAGTGTAGGACAGGTCGAACGTTTCAAGTTGTTGAGTGACTTATTCCACATGTTGACTAATCGGGATCCGACGATGCCATTCCGTGGATAATGCCTTTTTCATCTGAGCAGGGAGGAGTAGATGACAAAGATATAACTTGAAGTTCCATGCCAAGCACGGACAATCCAAGTTCGTCCCGGGGCCAGAATTATAAAAACGTGACTCGTCAACATTGCCTTCGTCTTTCCGAGCCTTCAATATGTCAGGTGGTGTTAGTCGAAAACTCTCCCTAGTGAAGACTGGGACTAAAGTCGCCAGTCTCAAATCCTCGAGCTCAAAGGCCAGTCATCAAACGGATCACATGACATTAGTGGACATTGACACTGACCTACGAAGGCCTGGTCAAAATGGTGCAATCACAGAGACCAACAAGAGAGCCAGCAAAGTCAGTCCTTTGAAAGAAAACAGCAATGAACTTCGGAAACCTCAAAGGCTTGTAAGTTTGAAGAACGCAAAACATAGATCTACTATAATTTCTGTTTATGCTATTCGTATTTTTTTCTTTCACAATATTTTAGGGAACATTATGGAACATTGCCCTGACAAAGTTATATCCTCGCACTAAACATGAGAGTGGCCCAATTAGGAGAAACAAAAATATAGCTCTTCCCATTGCGACGCATAACACACAGACATTAACATCATATCACATAGGCCTAGTATATTTTATAGTTTTACTCACAAACGGTTGATGCGCTTTTCAGGAACACATCTCATTGTTTAGGCTACCCATTTAAAAGCCATGTGTTTGTCACTCTTTGTCATTTTTATGAACCTGTGAATTTTAAAATTTGTATCTCTCCCTACCACCTATACCGTGTCAATTGCCTAGGCTACCCTTTTATGACAGACTTTAGGAATAACCGACATGCCACATCCCGTCCTTTTCCTAAGCACCATCTCTTTAATGTCAGTCTTGTATGCCCCAACAATCACAAGCGTAGTATTTAGATGACCGCCGCACTGTTATTTTTTTAAGCTTATAAGTCTCTCTCTCTCTCTCTCTCTCTCTCTCTCTCTCTCTCTCTCTCTCTCTCT